GACCCCCAGGGTGGGGCATGCAGGAGGCAGCTGGTCCGTGATTCTCTCTCATCATGGATGTTGCTCTCTCTCTCCCCCTCTTTAAGATCAATAAAAAATATATATATTTTTAAATATATTTTATTGATTTTTTACAGAGAGGAAGACAGAGGGATAGAGAGCTAGAAACGTCAATGAGAGAGAAACATCGACCAGCTGCCTCTTGCACACCCCCTACCGGGGATGTGCCCGCAACCAAGGTCCATGCCCTTGACCGGAATCGAACCTGGGACCTTTCAGTTCACAGACCGACGCTCTACCACTGAGCCAAACCGGTTTAGGCAATAAAAAATATATTTTTTTAAAAAAAATACATGTAGCCAAAACCAGTTTGGCTCAGTGGATAGCAGGTTCGATTTCCAGTCAAGGGCATATACCTTGGTTGTGGGCACATCCCCAGAGGCAGCTTGATCAATGATTTGCTCTCTCATTGATGTTTCTAACTCTCTATCCCTCTCTCTTCCTCTCTGTAAAATATCAATAAAATATATTTTAAAAATAATAAAATAATAAAAAATACATATAATCATAGCACACTTCCTTCTTATATTGCCTAGAAATGTAATAAAGGAAATATACATGGAGTGGCCGGAAGATGATGATCTCTGAACGCATCGTAATCTGGCCACTCAGTGTCTATCCTATAGAATAAAAGGCTAATATGCAAATTGTCCCCTCCACCAGGAGTTCGACCAGCAGGCAGGCTGGCCAACCGCCCATGTCCCCTCCCCCTGGCCAGGCTGGCTGGACCCCACCCATGCACGCATTCATGCACCGGGCCTCTAATATATATACACACACACACACACACACACATACCCAAGAGGCCAGATTATTATGCATCCAGATTATAATAATCTGGCCACTCAGTGTATATCATATTTCAAATATTTTTATTACACATACAGTGTATACATTATTGAAAGAGAGATTTTTGTACAATATTTTCTTTCTTTTTCATTATATTTTATTGACTTCAAAGAGGGAAGGAGAGCGAGATACCGTAGAAACATCAATGATGAGAGAGAATCATTGATCGGCTGCCTCCTGCACGCCCCACACAAGGGGCGGAGCCCACAACCCGGGCATGTGCCCTTGACCGGGAATCGAACCCCAGACCCCTCCGTCCACAGTCCGACGCTCTACCCACTGAGCCACACCAGCCAGGGCTGTCCACTGTTTTCAACGCTTCTCGGAGACTGCAAATTTCTTTGCAAACAGGGAGCCAGAAGCCAGGTGCCTGTTCCGGGAAAGAGATTTCTGAATTCGCAAGAAAAAAAACCAAGGCTCTGCTCGCAAATAACATAGCCACGCATGTTCGGCGGAGGGGTCAGAGGCCCGTTTGGCAGCTCCAACAAAGAAAAGCTTGTCATCAAGCTTCTTTGGCCCTTCTGGCCTAAAGTAAATTTGGAGCTAATTAGCTTTCAAGCCTTTTCCGTTTTTGGCTATTTTGTGTGGGTTTTTTTTTTTTGTTTTTTTTTTTCCACCGTGACAAGACAAAGAGGCAGAGCTTAAGAGAAAAACCAGATGCGGACGGTTTCTGGTCATCGCGGACGTTATATATTTATTTGTCCGCGTGGAAGCTGGGGTCTGGCCGGGGCCCAGCGGGATGGGTGGAGGAACGGCTTTGGCGGGCGTTGTTCTGGGGGGTCTGACGGAGCATGTAGGGGGCCTGGCTGCATCCTTCCCGGGGGTTAGAGGTGCCTGGGAACGTGGTCGTGGGGGCCCGGGGAAGATTTCCAAAAATCACAGGGACGGGAGAAACGGCATCAGGTGTGCGCGTTGGCTGGGGCCTTCCCACATCTTCTCTTCCCTGTCCGGGCATGAATTTCGGTTACTCCGTCTTTGGCTAGGGGAGTAAAAGAAGAGAGAGGATAAGGCGGTGCTTTCTCCCAGAGCGATGTCTGTGAAAAGCCAGCCCAAGACGAGATAAGAATATGGCTCAGCGGACAGAGCGTCGTCGACCGGTTTGGCTTCAGTGGATAGAGCGTCGGCCTGCGGACTGAAGGGTCCCGGGTTCGATTCCTGTCAAGGACGTGCATGTACCTTGGTTGCGGGCACATCCCCAGTAGGGGGGGGTGTGCAAGAGGCGGCTGATCGATGATTCTCTCTCGTCGATGTTTCTCACTCTCTATCCCTCTCTCTTCCTTCTCTGTGAAAAATCAACAAAATATATTGATTAATAAATAAATAACGTGGCTCTCCAGGGAAATCTGAATCGTCGTGCTGTTGTATTATTTGGCTCCGTTGACTAATGAGTTTGCCGGCCGCGGGTCCGTCCCATCCCGGTTCCAGGAACGCCAGCCCGGGCCAGCTCGCTGATGGAGATGGAAGACACAGCGCACCTGGTGGCCTCGTTAAGCTCCGGGCGGCAGGATGGGGCCGGGCGGGGGCCCTCGGTGCGGATGCACTTTCTTCTTCACGTTGAAAAGCGATCACGGGCACGTCCTCCTCGGGCGCACGTACCGCTGTCCGGGGCGCGTGTGACACGTGGAATCCCGATGAGCGGCCACGGGTGGGGTGGGGCGGGCCGGGGAGCCGGGCCAGGGCCGCCCCCGGGGGCCTGGGAAGGAAATGGGCCCGCGAGGCCCACAGCGCTGCGCAGAGACACAGAAATAAACGGACGGCTGTGTCACTCACCGAGACCTTGGGAAACAGGACTTGAAGAAGGGAGTTTTCAGCCATGCGAGGACTGTGCTCGAAGGAAACAATTCGGCTTGTCCATAAATAAGGCCATTCCTATTCCCCAGCGACTCTCCCTTCAGCAATGTGCCCCAGAGAAAGTAGCAAAGATGCAGGACACGCAGTCAGTCATTTGGCCATTTGTGTCCGGTTTTTGTTTGCTTTATTTGTATTTGATCACAGAGAGGAAAGGAGAGTGGGAGAGAGAGAGAAACATCCATGATGAGAGAGGATCATGGCCCGGCTGCCTCCTGCACGCCCCCTACTGGGGACCGAGCCAACAACCCGGGCCTGTGCCCTGACTGGGAATCGAACCCTCACCTCCTGGTTCATAGGTTGATGCTCAACCACCAAGCCATGCTGGCCGGGCCATTTTGCATTGGTTTTATTTACAATCACAAGCATTTAAACATAACCCTTAAGCTGAAACCGGTTTGGCTCAGTGGATGGAGCGTCGGCCCGCGGACTGATGGATCCCAGGTTCGATTCCGGTCGAGGGCACGGACCTTAGTGGCAGGCCCATCCCCAGTGTGGGGTGTGCAAGCAGCAGCTGATGGATGATTCTCTCTCATCGATGTTTCTAACTCTCTATCCCTCTCTCTAAAAAATCAGTAAGATATATTAAAAAATAAAAATTAAAATAAAATACCCGTGTGTTTCCTATCTGCCATTGACTCTACGCGCCGGCATGCAGCCAGGAAAGCAGAGAGCTCTGCCGGTGCCCCACGCAGGAAAGACTTAATCCAGGTGCTTCCAAAACCTGGGAGCGGCCGGGCCCACTGCCAGCAACCTCGGGGAGTCACGGAGCCACGGGAAGGACAGGAAACGGGGCTGATGACGGGGCGGGTGGCCGCCCTGACGCAGGTGAAGGCCCTGCAGAAGCTCACGTCTGCCACCCACACGCCCTCGCACCTGCCCCCGGAGGCCCCAGGGCAGGGGCGGCCTCTGTCCTCATTTTTCCATCAGGACCTGGACCTTCATTGTTTTATTTTTTCCATTTTTTTAATTAAGGTATTATCTGTGTACATATCTTACCATTGCCCTCTCCCCACCCATCCATGCCCTCCCTCCCCAGAGTTTTGTGTCCGTTGGTTATGCTTCTAGGCATGCATACAAGTCCTTCTTATCTCCCCCATATCTCCCTCCCCTCCCCGCTGTAATTTGACAGTCTGTTTGTTGCTTTACTGCCTCTGCATCTATCTTTTTGTTCATCAGTTTATAATGTTCTTTATATATGAGTGAGGTCATGTGGTGTTTCTCTTTCATTGACAGGGTTATTTCACTCAGCATGATGTTCTCCAATTCCATCCAGGTTGCTGCAAATGATAAGAATCCCTTCTTTTTGCCGGGACCGCTTTGGCTCAGTGGACAGAGCATCAGCCTGCGGACTGAAAGGTCCCGGGTTCGATTCCCGGCAAGGGCATGTACCTTGGTTGCAGGCACATCCCCAGTAGGGGGTGTGCAAGAGGCAGCTGATTCTCTTTCATCGGTTTCTAGCTCTCTATCCCTCTCTCTTCCTCTGTGAAAAATCAATAAAATATGTTTTTTAAAAAAAAAAATCCTTTTTTATGGCAGCATAGTATTCCATTGTGTAGATGTACCATAGTTTTTTGATCCAATCATCTGCTGACGGGCACCTAGGCTGTTTCCAAATCTGAGCTATGGTGAATTGTGCTGCTATGAACATAGGGGTGCATATATCCTTTCTGATTGGTGTTTCTAGTTTCTTGGGATATATTCCTAGGAGTGGGATCACTGGGTCACATGGGAGTTCCATTTTCAGTTTTTTGATTAAGTATTTCTCAACATAATAAAAAATAAGATTGCCCTAACCAGTTTGGCTCAGTGGATAGAATGTCGGCCTTCGGACTGAAGGGTCCCGGGTTCGATTCCGGTCAAGGGCATGTACCTTGGTTGCGGGCACATCCCCAGTAGGGGGTGTGCAGGAGGTGGCTGATGGATGTTTCTCTCTCATCGATGTTTCTAACTCTCTATCCCTCTCCTTTCCTCTCTGTAAAAATCAATAAAATATATTTTTAAAAATATATTTTAAAAAAAGATTAACTTTGTTTTAATATTTTATTCAAAGACTTCAGTTTTAAACATCTGTAAAATATTTTGCTTTGAACATAAATTTAACCTCAAGTGGCAGAAGAAACAAAAATATGTCATGAGACTACATTTCAGCGATATATCTTTGAACAGGGAAACAAAAAAACTCACTACCACCAAAACAAGCTATCCAACAAACCTAATTTATTAGACATGCCTGTGTTTTATTTTCCTCTAGGTCATTTGTTGGAAGGAAATTACACTTTCAAAGAATCAGCCCTTACAAACAGAGCCGTTAATCTTTCAAAAAATAACATCCAGTTGCTAGATTTTCAAAACGTACAAAACCCAGTGGAAGCGTCTGGTTGCCGGCCAACAGCGTCATGCTCCGGTCGGTTTCACAACACAGGGGACAACTACAGCTAATTCCTGTAGGCAAATGCCAACCCTACATGGAACCGGAAACTACTGCCGTGGTTCCCAACGTGCTGACAATTGTCTTATTGCTGAATTGTACAGGATAAGTTTTCTTTGGCAACTTTTTATACTATCGATTAACACAACTCGACAACTAGACAACTATAAAGGTTTGGGTTAACTTAGTATTTCAAAAATGTCAAAATTTCATTATAATCACTTAAATAGAATGTCTTATAGATGCCAGAATAGGGAAGTCTCCAAACACGCCTAATTCAATATAATTGACAAAAAAAAACAAACAAACAAAAACATAAACACTGCTAACTGATCACTACTAAAAGCTGTACAGTTGTATGTACAAGTATATAACTCAACTCAAACACCAGTAAAAATATTACAGTATGAATTCCAATCCTCTATCAGATTTTCTGTGATAAAAGCACGAAAAGTTAAATGTAGAAACTAACATCTGGGTACCTGTCGATTTTTCTGGAAGGCGATTCCATCGTATGGATACAAAGTGGCCTAACTCAGCCAGAACATGCTGTGAATTCTTACCAGGATGCCACAGAAAATTATCAAGTATATTGATAACTTAGTCATTTTCATTCTGTTCTACGGAATAAGCCTATTTTGGAGGCTTGGCACACTACCACCAAGAAATTTAAACAAAAACCTCAAGTCCGGGTATCTAACTAGAAAGTCTTCTCTATGTATCACGTCGCCTTAAGTATGATTAGATTCCACTAACTACTAGCACTCAGAACCCACACCTCGTGAAGCGAAACGGTGCAGAAAGTGCACTCAGACACATTCACGTGACAGAGAACAGGGATGGAATTCAGCCCGCAAAAATTCAGCGGCCTCCAGGCAAACATTTGTACGCAAGCTTCCATGAGTAAGACATAGAAAAGGATTCCTTTTGATGATGTTATGTACAGCTTGTTTGTAATTCCGAAAAGGGAAACTGAAAATCTAGGTAAAAGCCACGATAAAGTCAAACACAACGCCAAGTGCTACAGTCTGCCAAGCTGGTCTCTCTCGGGAGACGCTGTTCTAAGAAATGCCCTCCTCCTGATCCATCATCTCCGTCTTCGCAGAGAACACGTCGGCCAGCATGTGCTTGGGGATCTCTGAGCCGCGCACTCGGAGGGCGTAGCAGGCGTTCTCCACCTTGGCCAGGCTCTGCTTCAGGGTGTAGAGCTTCTTGGACACCTCGTAGGGGCCGGTGTTGCCGATGAACGAGAAGCCGTCGTACACCTGGCGCAGGAACTGGCTCACCTCGAAGGGCGTGTCGATGTCGCCGTTGCCCACGCTGTTGATGCACATGCGCATCAGCTCGCCCGTCAGGTCCGCCACGCCTAGGAGGTAGTCCACGGGCGTGATCCTCAGCCTCCAGGGACCCGGCTCTTTATCCTGAGCGTCGGGAGAGGGCTGGGGAGAGCACACACACACAGACAGAGAGAAAACACCCGGTGAGAAGGAGAGGGCATGCATGTGCCGTGCTTACTCTAAGGTACAAAACCAAGAGCCGATCAGCCATGCTCATCTTCTCTAAATAGGACCTGCCAGGAGCTCCTTTGTCTAAAGACTCTTTGTGATGTTCCAAGAGGAATTCATGCCTGGTAGGGAGTTTAATGAAATTAGTTCACGATAACTTCGAAATCTAACACTGTGTCATTATAAAGTCGACTATTTCCAACCTCACTAGACACACAAAATGAAGTTAAAGCATTCTCAAACAAGGTCCAACTACTTTACTGCATGACAATCGTACTTATTTAAATGACAGATCTCCAAGCCCTCCACGTTTGTGATTATTCCCTTCCTCATAAGCCACTCAGCCTTCTCTCTCCTATCCCTACTCAGCACCGACCATCCTCATTGATTACTCTCTTGCTACATCCTCCTCAGTTGCTTTAGGCTCCTATTTTTCTACCGCACCCAGAAAAAACACAGCCTGAATCAATGTTAAAACCTACTTTTGTTAGTATTTTATTCAAGTCGAGTCCCACTGAGCTGAAAAATAATAATTACATCTGCATCTGTCGTTTGTCCCACTACAAATGACTCACTAATCCTTTCACTTTATTTTAAATGATTCTCTCTCCTGACTCCTTAGACATTATTCCAAACCATCATCACCTCCTCAGCCCCCTTCTCAATCCCAGACCTACTGCCAATGGCCAGGGTGTGGCCAGGTCACCTGGCACAAGCTCTCAATGGCCTCATGCCTACAAAAGCACACTCCGCTCCACACCCATCTTTACCTTCTACCCTCGTCTCAGGTGGTGAGCTGTCCCTTCTCTGGTTTGAGGTTAACTCTTCCAAATGACCTTGACCCATCTCCCCCCACCTCTTCCAGCACCTTGCTTCATAAGGTGTATGCCCTGGGGCAAGTTATGTCATCTCTCTAACCCTCAGTTTCCTCATCTGTAAAATGTGATAACAGTGCCTACCTCAAAGGTTTATTTAAAGGAAGAAATAATATTTACCAAGTTCCTGGCATTGTGCCCAACACAAAGTAAATACTCAATAAATGTTAGCTGCTATCAATCACCACTGCTGAGAAGCAAGCAAGGAAATGGCAGTCAAATGGAGGAATTACTAAGATCACTCCATATGATGGAAAAGTAGTCCCAGACCAGCTGGTCCAGTCCTCATAGTGTAAAGGATGAGATGAGATGAGGTCCAAGAAACAGAGAGGGGCCGAAACCGGTGTGGCTCAGTGGGTAGAGCATCAGCCTTCGGACTGAAAGGTCCCAGGTTCGATTGCGGTCAAGGGCATGTACCTTGGTTGCGGGCACATCCCCAGTCGGGGGTGTGCAGGAGGCAGCTGATCGATGATTCTCTCTCATCAATGTTTCTAACTCTCTATCCTTCTGTCTTCCTCTCTGTAAAAAATCAATAAAATATATTTAAAAAGAAGAGAAAAAAAAAGAAACAGAGGGAATACAGCTAGTTACTGACAGAAATGAGTAAGTGTCCAAATTCCTGATTCCCTGGCGCCTGTAAACTACAGCATGACAGAGTGTCCGCTATGCTTCGTTTCTAATACTGTTAGAGGAAGGGCATCTTTTTAGGAAGGGCAGGTAAACTGCAGAAAACCATCATTGCACAGTCATTTACAAAAATAACTTTTGCCTAAGAAAATATTAATGTTCTTGTCCCATCCACTAACTAACTAGTCAGAAAGGCATTTCCCTGCGGGGCGATCCATGAACCCACACTTTAGAAAGAACACCACCATCTCAATATTCCTACCACTGTCAGCCAGTGTACACCGCCTACAATCATCATACTCTTCTATGAATGACGCCATAAAACGTGAAAGATGGTTTTAAATGCTTACAGTCTGATTTTCTTTCCCATTCTCTTCGGGTGTAAATACCAACTGCTTATTAATTTCATCCATACTGATAAGTGATCGTGTTTTGATGAAGTGCTGAAAAGAGACGGCCTCCACATATTCCTGTAGTCCTGAAAAACCAACCAAGAAAGTTACTGAAGAAAACAACTAAATGAATAAGAATGTCATAGCCCTAGCCCATTTGGCTCGGCAGATAGAGTTTGGCAGCCCATCAATGATTCTCTCTCATCATTGATGTTTCTCTCTCTCTCCCTCTCCCTTCCTCTCTAAAATAAAATATATATATATTAAGAAAAAAATGTCAAAAAGACTTCAAGTGGCGCATCACCTGGCTCAACAAAAGCTCAGTGCATGCCCACCAGCTGAGAGTCAGCGCCATTTGCACTGCATGGATGGACCCTGAGGACACGGTGCCAAGTGAAATGAGTCAGACAGAGAAAGCCGGGAACCACGTGATTCCCCTCATAAAACTGGAACTTGTGAATACAAACAGCAGAGTGGCGGCTGCCAGAGGGAAAGGGGTGGGGAGAAAAAGGAGTCATAATATGAGGTGACAGAAGATCTGACTTTGGGTGTGGGCACATGGTGCAATGGACAGATCTTGTAACATAGAAACCCACACGTGAAGCCTGATTGTTCATGTTGACCGATGTCACCACAATCTGATAAATAAAATATTTTTAATTCATCTCTTAATGGGGGTGGTTATTAAATATTACATTTCCAAGCATACCTAAGTCATTATTTAAGTTGTCTTTGGGGTGTGTTTGGTTCAAGTTACTGCAGAGATGGGGTGGCCATTTCCACTCCATGTTAAGTTTTGGGCTATAGCGTGGAGAAAGTTCAAGGCCACCTGGCCCCAAGCACTGGAAAGCATTTCTGGGTCACATGTGGGTTAAAGGATGTTTAAACAAGTTATGTTTCAAGCTGATGAAAAGAACATCCGCTATTTTCAGCGACTAATTCCCAAGGTGAAGAATTTCAACCTCCTGCCATATCCCACCAAACAATGCCTTCCCCTCTGCTTGTGCCTTGGCCCGAGTCCAACTGGAATTATTTACAGAAACAGCTGCCAGTGAGAGAGAGGTTTGTAGGCCGCTTTTTGGTCATTTGTTGTTTTTCTCCTCGTTCTTCTATTAGGATATATACGAGGAAACCCAATGAAAGGCTTCTGGTTATTTTTACTTGTTCTTATAAAGGTGAACGGACAAGAGGTCCCATTATAAATTCCGATTTCATGTCTGCACTTTCTTTCCAGGCATTTAGTCGTTCAAAAAACCGTTTGCCATATGCCCCCGGCTCTTGGATACCCAACAGAACTGAAAGTATTTATGTTCCCACAATGACTTGCAGGTCAATGTTCGTTCATAGCAGCAGCTTCATTGAACTCCGATATCCTCATTTGTCAAGTACAAACACCAACCCACACGGTGGGGATGACGCAGAATGACAGATCGGTACACTTGAATCACACTGAGAATAATTAAAATAAGAACGACAGGCAGTAATTTTTGTTAGAAATATAACTTAGAATACAGTGGGGCTTTTTTGTTTTTGTTACAATGTATTAACTCACAATTAAAAGAGGCCGTTATTATTCCAATAGGTTAGTCCAATATGCACTATAATAGTAAAAAGTAATAGGTAAGTTATGTTAATGGATCGCTATTCTTTATCCAATGAAGGCAGTTTGTCAAGGAATAAGGACTTCTTTGGCTTAGGCATATGTTAAGTGCTAACATCAGCGCTATAATGTGGGTGGGTTTATAAGGAACAGCTTAATATTGGGGGGAGGAAAGTTTAAGCAAGACACAAGCCTTTACCTGGGGTTAGGTTCTCAACATGCAAATTGCACCCATGTGGTATGAAATCCATGGCTCTCCCTACTAGCTTATGGCCTTGGGCAAGTTGCTCAACTCGTGTGAGTCTGAATCCCCCACTTAAGAAGTGGTAAAAATTATACCTTCGACTTAGGGATATAATAAAGGCCATGAACATAAAGAACAGTAGCTACGAAATATCTCTAACTGGCCCAAAACGTCCACTTGAACCATCATTCGCACGCTTGGGTAAGAGAATGAAAATATCAGTTAGAGTATGAACTTAGCTTCGCGTATGAAAATGAAATGACAATTTTTATCCTCGTAACATTAACTAAATATGTGTGTGTGTGTGTGTGTGTGTGTGTGTGTGTGTAAACATAATTTATTTTCTTTGACACATAGGACATTTTCTCCAACTGTTAATTTTTCAACATGAGAGAAAAACAAAAGATTGACAGGGCACACACACACAAAAAAACTGTTAAGTGGCTTATTTCAAGCAACTCAGGATTCGCTCATTTGTTCCGCCATCCCCTGGGACAATCCGTAATCGACTCCGATAAGAAGCGTGCAGAAAACAGACCTAACCTTTTGTTGTTGTTCAGTTATGAGTAGGATGCTCGGGGTTTGAGCTCGCACAAGGGCCCCGCAGGGAACAGCTCTGCGTGCCATTAGCACTATTCTTAATGAGGAAAAGCAGAGAGCTCCTTTAGTTCGCTGCCAGAATTGTTTTATCTCCAAGTCAAAGAGAACAACTATTTGGAGCAACACCAAAACAAGCATTGAACAATCACAAACAGCAAGCTATTCATAAGCATCGTATCGTTAATGCTACGCTAATGGTAAGTAACCTGGGTTTTATCAAATAAAATATCTGTCAGCAAATTTTTTTTTAAGTCCTAGATACCTCTTCATTTGACTGATTACTTAAACTTTAAGAAAAAAAAAATATGCTTATTGCTTCAACTTGAAGAACCTAGCTGTATTTTAAAGGCTTATTATGAGCCCTAGCTGGTTTGGCTCAGTGGATAGAGCATCTGCCTGGGGACTGAAGGGTCCCAGATTGGTCCACAGGTTGACACTCTATCCACTGAGCCAAACTGGCCAGGGGTACACATGGACTTTTGATGGCCAGGGGTGGGGGTGTTGGTTGGCACCCCAACCCGCGTGTTCAAGGATCAATTAAAATTTGCAAATGGTGATAACCACCAAGATCCAGTATCACCTGGAACTTCTGCCCCCCTGCTGGAGATCAGTGCCCCTTGTCTGAGTCCACTCCTCACACTCAAGAATCAAGTCATGGAGAAGAGTTACTAGGAAACAGACATTATTAAAACCGATCAATGATTGTCACTGGACTTTGAGAAAAATAAAGCCAATGAAATGTTTTGGGTTGCCTTTCCATTACTACTCAGCAGTCCCAATTTTTAGAAGCCAATGGTATGTTACCAAGCAGCCATTAAAACTCATGCAGCGCACACATACGTCATGTGACACGCCAGCGCTGAAGGCCTCACCCGCCGTGATGGCTCTGTGGAACTGATGCATCTCCTCCCCCAGCAGCTCCCGGGCCACCTGCAGGATCTTCTGTCTGACCGCGTCCAGCTTCACTTCTGACTCCGCCAGTACCTCCTCCATGTCAGGGGCACTGTGACCGAGACATTGGAACTTTTAGAACTCCAGCCAGATGCTTTACAGAGGAAGGCTGAAATGATCCAATTACCACTTAGCATGGGCCTACCTAAATATTGTCTGTATTTGGATACCAAGTCAAAACTACAACTGACTTTATTAAAACTATGTAAACACATGGAAAATGATGTGACATACTATTAAGTGGAGGGGAAAAAAAGTACACAAAGCTCTATGTATAATCATAACTGTAAGAAAAATTACATGGGGGTGGGAGCAGCCAGGGAGAGGTCAATGTGGGGCGGGGGGGGGGGACATATGTAATACTTTCAACAATAAGGAATTTAAATTTAAAAAATACGTTCATAACAATATAACATCTGGATATGTCTGCTTTTAGTCAGGATGGAGTAACGTGGGCAGAAATTAGCCTCCCATCGAAAACAACTAAAAAGAGAAAAACAAGACATACAAACTATGGTTCAGACGTTGGACAACAGGCAGCAGGGGACTGCGATCCCCGAGAGAGGTGAGGAAAAGGACAGGAGCCCTCGGACTGTCCTGTCTCAGCGCCTGGGCACTTTCCAAGGGACAGTGCGGGAATGAGAAACCCACATGGAGCCGAGAAGTCTCCCGGAGAAAGTATTTTGAATGGAATGAAAATGAAAAACAGTGTATCAAAGTTCATGGAAGGCAGTTAGCTGGTACTTAGAGACCAAAAGAGAAAGTTACAGCACTCAGTGTCTATGTTAGAGAGGAGCGTTCGTCTTTGATCTCAGCTTCCACCTTGGGAAACTAGAACAAAAGAAACAAGTTGGGGCACCTTAAGTAGGAAAATGGAAAATGCCATAAAACCCAGATCCTTTAAGATCAGTGACACGGAGCCAGACAGATCAGGAAAAAGAACACAAATCACCAACCTCAGAAATGAGATGTCACTACGGAGCCTACAGAGATGAAAGGATAAAGGAAAAAATTCCTTGAGAGTCACACGCTACCGACACTCACTGCTAGATGTGCCTGCTGCTAACGCCCTCTGACCCATGCTCAAAAGACAAGTCACGGAATATTCCAGCAGTGAGTTAGAACTGCATCCAACTGCAAGAAAAGCTAGAGGATGCACTCACCTTGTAATCCTATGGAGCAGAAAGATTATCCTTTTACTCTCCACGGTGATATCCCGGCTCAGCTTCACAAGTCTCTCGTATTTGTCATGTCTGGCATCAAGTTCCTGCTGAAATGCTAAGAATACATTATTATGACCGTCAGCGTGATTATTCTGGGAGTAAAGCCTATCACACAGTATTGTTACTATTCATGGCAAAGCGACTCTCATTTACTCTATAAAGAACACAACGTCACCTTATTTATTTATATATTTTTTTAATATATTTTATTGATTTTTTACAGAGAGGAAGACAGAAGGATAGAGAGTTAGATCAGCTGCCTCCTGCACACCCCCTACTGGGGATGTGCCCGCAACCCAGTACGTGCCCTTGACCGGAATCTAATCCGGGACCCTTCAGTCCGCAGGCCAACGCTCTATCCACTGAGCCACACCGGTTTTGGCATCTTACTTATTTTTAAAGAACGTGGAAATTAAAGACTCTGCTGGTAACTAAAATATCCTTTCTTTGCACAGAGATATGGTTAACTAGGTTTTACCACGCAGAGCCTCATAACGAAACTGTGAACACACATCTATCCATCCAAGATTTACTGACAGACAGGAGTTCCCACTCTGGGCAAAGTGCTGCAGTCAAAGCCAAAATAGTCTGTCTTCAGAAGTCTAGAGGTTAGAGCGACAGCACTGGGGCCAACGGGTCACAGGTTCAATTCCCTGTCAAGGGCATGTACCTCAGCTGCAGGTTTGATTCCTGGCTCTGGTTGGGGATCATGTGGAAGGCAACCAATCCATGTCTCTCTCTCTCTCTAAAATAAAATCAAATAAATAAATAAGTAAATAAATGGGGGGAAAAAATATTCTCAGGTGAGGATTTTAAAAAAACCATACACTTATAAAATTAACTAACTAGATGTATATATACAGCGTATATATGTATATATGTGTGTGTCTCCCTGGTACACATACACACCTGATATATAGGGATGTGGCACATAATATCCTGGTCACCAATGGACCACACCTACACGGGTGGTCCCATCCCATCCTATTTAATAAAAGCCTAACATGCTAAGTGTCTGACTGCTCAACCAGCCACTATAATGTGCTCTGACCACCAGGGGACAGACGCTCCAACCAGGTTAGCTTACTGCTGGGGTCCAGCTTCTCTAGCCCAGGATATGCCCTGGAGCCCCCCACTCCCTCCGCAGCCTCTAAAAATATTTCTTCTAATTAATTTCCTGCATAGATGTGCACAAATCCGTGCACCGGGCCTCCAGGAAGATTAGAATGGAGATGAAAAATGCCTCTTGCCTAGCGACACCATAGCCATTCTACTTAGTAACATAGCCCACAATGTAAACAAGCCTACAGCCTGCACAGCCGTCCAGCACATGGGATTACAGAGTGGGCACACATGGCCGTGCATGGCACACCCATGGAACCACCTGGTGATGCGCCTCTCGGGTGGCCAAGCAGCACAGGTGAGAGTGTGTGTAGGTGCTGACGTACATGGGACACGCGATGATTTTTGGCCAGATGGCACTGTCTCATGTCAATTCACCAACGTTTACCTGTGGGCCCATAATGGAGGGAAGGGGGTAGAAAACCAAGATTTTTGTCATCCTGACCTTCCTAGCAGACCCCGCACCACCCAACCCCAGGAAAAGGAATCGACCTACACAGGCGCCTCTTAAAACTCTCCTTCTGTGCACAACGGACAAGATTATTATGCATTCAGAGATCATCATCATATGGCCACTCACTGTATATCAGGTGTGTATGTGTTCATCTATTTAGTTAACTTTTAAAGTGTGTGTGGTTTAAAAACAAAAACCCAATCACAAAACAAACATCCACACTCGGACCTCTCTCGCTCTCTGCCTCGGCCAGCGGGCGCTCCAGGGAACTCACCTTTGAAGGCCACCATCACGGGTGACGACGAGTTCACGTCCTTCCCGTCCCTCCGCTGGCTGTGGGGGAAAGTGTCGTGCTTCCTCTTCCTGAAGCCTCCGTGTCCTGACACGGGGAAGGAGAGAACATTCAGACAGGCCCTTCCCATCACCGGGAGGCGACCGCTCGGGATCTGTGTCTTCCCTTATCTCCCCGCTCCCCTCCCTCCCCCCCACCTTCCTGCCTGGAGAGCCGGACGCCCACGGGGCCCGGGCCTCGGACGCTTTCCCGGCCCCAAACCTTAAAACTCGCTCGGCCAGGCCACCGCCCGCCCCCCCACCCCCCATAGGTTCCTTCATCTGGCACGAGGTGGACCATCACCCCACTGAAGTGTTTAAAAACAGCTCGTGCATTTAAAGGAAGTGAAGCTGTTCAATGGTGGAAGGGGGGGGGGAGAGAGAATAACGGGGAGTCGGGGGAGTCACCAGGACCGCCGCCCCCCGGCCCGCACAGGACGAGGGCATCCCTCGGGAGCGGAGGGGAAATTCTACAAAAAAAAAACCGGAGACCCACCCCCTTGGGGTAAATAACGCCCAGGGATGCGCAAGACGCCACCTTCTTTGTTGCTCATGTCGTCACGGGGTCCCTCTCGGACCCGGGGAGAGCGCGCGAGGCGGCAGTGGGAGAGCCTGCCGGGGGTCCTTTGACGTCGCCACGCGCGAGCCGGAAGCGCGCGGCCGCAGACACTCAAATCCCGCCTTCTCCCTCGCACGCACACTTCCGGCCTGCGTGCAAGTCGCCCGGCCACTAGCTCCGCCGCGCGTGCCCCGTCCCGGAGGACCTCGCCTCCGCGTGCCCTCCGCCGTGCCCGACGACAGAAGCGACTCGACGCGCTTCCCAGCGTGCGCTGCTAATAAATAAGACGATCTGTGCTCCCGAAGGGGAGGTCTGTGTGAAGGTGGAAAAGCGGGGGGAAATGTGCGTGATTTTTTTTTTTTTTTTTTTTTTTGCTTAAGGCGCCTTTGGAACACCCTGGCGAGGACCCAGCCTCCAGCGCGGTGCATCGTAGGAGTTGTAGTTCGCCAACTGCCCATGTCCCCTCCCTCTCGCCAGGTTGGCTGGAACTCATCCATTCACGAATTCATGCACCGGGCCTCTAACACACACACACACACACACACACACACACACACACGCACGCACGCACACACACACACACACACACTCTCTCTCTCTCTCTCTCTCTCTCTCTCTCTCTCTCTCTCTCTCACACACACACACACACACTCTCTGAGTGGCCAGATTATTATGCGTTCAGAGATCATAATAATCTGGCTACTCTAGATCTAACTCTCGTTAGGACAGGTTTCCAATGAACTGATTAAACTATCTGTAAAGGAAAGTGTTGCCTTTTTTGTCTTCATTTTAAATCTGAGGAACTAAGTTCTGAGAAAGGGTGTGTATCAATGCAGAGCAAATTCCTTATGTGATTAGTCAAGCTACCTGACTACAGACAAGTTTTATTCCTGTCTCTCTGTTCTGACAAACTGCACGGCCTATTTCTGAGTGGCCCAGATCAGGTTGGATCAACATGCTTGGCCAGGGAAAATGAGTAAATCCCAAATTAAAGTGACTTGTTTGGGCAAAACAAATTAATATATTATGGCATGAGCCAAGCAGGAACTTCCCCTGCAACTTTCCTGTTAATATGACACACGTTCCATGTCTAAAGGTTCCTCCCACGACCGCAGGGAGCCGAGTGGTACCTGCCAGGGTGCAAGTCAAAGGTTACACAAGTTTAGGAGCCTGTGATGTGCTGATGATTTGACTCAGAACTGAATGATGGACAGAGTAATGCTACGTGAAGAGCATCGGCCTTTTTAAAAATATATATATTTTATTGATTTTTTTACAGAGAGGAAGGGAGAGGGATAGAGAGTTAGAAACCTCAATGAGAAAGAAACATCAATCAGCTGCCTCCTGCACACTCCCTACTGGGAAAGTGCCTGCAACCAAGGTACATGCCCTTGACCTGAATCGACTTAGGATCCCTCAGTCTGCAGGGCCAGCCGAAGCTCTATCCACTGAGCCAAATCGGTTAGGGCAGGATGGCATAGTTTTGCCTTGACTGTATAGAGTTGTAAATCAATTGATGAATAGTGTAGCATTCCAACCTACCCTAACTGTTCATTTATGCTCTCTCCTTAGGGATAGTGTATGTCCTAGGCATTTCAATGTTGAAAAGTACTTTTATTTTTTTCTTTCTTTCTTCCTTTCTTTCTTTCTTTCTTTCTTTTTTTCTTTCAAAAAGCATAGAAATCTTTAATGAAACAGTAAATGGTGATGGGTTCATTTCCTGGTCAGGGCACATACCTAGGCAGCAGAAATTTCTCATCATCTTCACACTGTACACATTCAAGTGAGAAATGTTCATTTGTCTCTTCCTTTATTTTATTTTATTCTTTTGCATGTTCATTTTGAAATCTGAACGCAATTCATTCAGTAAAGAAAACAATTTCATTTTCATTAAGACTCTTTCAGACTGGGTACAGTTGCAAAAGCATCAAAGAAATGATCCAGACCTCCCACAAATGCCAAAGAAGGATTTTTGTTGTTGTTGTTGAAAACGTGAAAAAAGAAAGCATCGAAATAAAATGAAGTTACATTTTAAAACCCTGGGGGAAATACAGCAAGCATTGCTCAAACTCCGAAAAGTAACTGGAGAAAAAAAGACACGGTTCTAAAAAGTGAAGAATAAACTACAAGGAAAAAGGAATTCAAATAAAAATCTACTAACAATCATGGAAGAAAGCTAGTAAACGGGCAAAAGAATGAAACTGAGATAAAGACATTTTAAAAGGGATCAGGGAGGATGTGATAGGAATAGAAAACAGACACGCACATAAATTAAACATACACATACTTGGAATTTTTTAGTTAGAGAAATAAAACAATGGCACAAAACTAGTGTTTAAGTTTTTAAAAGGAACTTTCCAGAAGCAAGAAAACTTACGTATTGAAGGAACTCACCACATTTATGGAGAAAATTATCGATTATGAATTCTGAGACATTTTTTTGGGGGGGAAAATCACTAGATTCTAAAGACAAAAGAAAAAGCTTCAGAGTCTCCAGGCAAAAAGATAATATACTTACAAACTAGGCAAGAACATTAAATTGGCATTAGACTTCTCAAGAGCAACATACAAAGCTTTTTAAATATTTGTTGTTTATTCATATGATACATGAGGCTAGCACAGCCCTGCCCACATTAGCTGGTGTTCAGCCAAGTTTTAGAAAATCCAAAATCATAGCCCTTTTTATTATTTTTAAAAATACATATTTTGTTGATCTTAGAGAGGAAAGGAGAGGGAGAGAGTGACAGAAACGCCAACGATGAAGAGAGAATTATTGATGGGCCGCCTCCAGCACACTCCCCACTGGGGGATCATGCCCGAAACCCAGGCCTGTGCCCCTGGCCGCAATCGAACCCGGGACCCTTCAGTCTCCAGGCCAACTGCCCCATCCACTGAGCCAAACCAGCCAGGGTGAGCCCTTTTTATTCTTAAAATAAAGGGCAGGTGGAAAGAAACACCCTTGGCTTATTTTGGTAAGGTTTTCAGGTTCTGTAAAATAAAAATAAAAAAAAATTACACCCATCAACATGGTACATATTCTATTAAGTGATTAATTTTTTTTAATTGTTAAGGTAGTGATGCTTGCTCATTTATCACCCAAATCCAACCCGCAGGAGTGGTTCCACCAGATTTAATTTAAGTGCCTGATGCATGTGGATATTGGAATAAGCATTGATTACCTTCAGTCGATAGCTAAATATTATTTCGCGAGGTTTCAAACTTGGCAAGATTTTGACAGGGTTTGAAATGGTAAAAATAAATAAATAAATAAATAAATAAAAAATAAAATAAAAATAATCAAATGTCAATACCTTCACAGGACCAAACCCGGCACGAGGGCTTCGGAGAACAGCGCAGCCATACTCATGTGTGTTGCCTGTCCTGTCAGACCTTGTTGAGAGGCAGAGGCTGCCCGGTGTCATGGAGAAAACAGCTTTGGAATCTTGACAGTCGGGTGCCTGGAGCCGGCCCCAGTCCTGCCTGGACCTCTCTGAACTCCCGTTTCCCCCGGCGCCCACCGAGGGCCGCGGCAGACCCCGTGCACACTGAGCCCAGAGAACGCCCCCAGCACGCCGGAGGGCTGCACAAATCAGCAGCCATTTCGCGGCCGGCCCTCCGGGTCAGCGCGGGCCCAGCAGGTGGACCGTCCATCCGGGTGGGTCGCGGGCCCCGCAGCTGCGCAGTGACCCCGCCCTCTCACGGCCCGCCCCGCCCCCTCGGTGTCACTGCGCATGCCCGGGGAGTAGCCCCGCCCCTAGGTGTCTCTGCGCATGCCCGGGGCGTAGCCGGCGAGGGGCGGGGCTACGCGCGGGACCGCACGCAGGCTCAGCGCGTGCGCGTGACTCCGCCCCCAGACATGCCCCCGGCTACGCCCCGTCCCCGCCCCCACGCACCGCCCGCCCGGGTCGCGGCGGGGCCGTGGTGTACGTGCCGAGCGCGCAGAGCGAGTGGCGCCCGCACGCCCTGCGCTCCTCCACAGGCCGGCCGGGCGCCCGGGAGGCGGAGGCGGCGGCGGCGGCGGCGGCGGCCCAGGAGGCCGGGCCCGCGCGCCCGAGCGGAGATCGCCGTTCGCTCACGCAGGCCGCGTTCCCTCCACCCGCCATCCCGCCCGCGGGGCGATGCGGCGCTGAGACCGGACCCGAGGACGGACGCGAGGTCGGATCCGAGGACGCGAGGAAGCCAGCGGGGCCGGGCCGAGGGCGGGGAGCCGGCCTGCGTGAGGCGAGGGGCGGCGGCGGCGGCGGCGGCGGCGGGTGCATGGCGCAGTGACGGGGCCCCTGCCGCTCCTCCGCCCGCTCTCCGGCCTCGGGCGAGGCCGTCCGGCCGCCACCCCGCCTGCTCGGCCGCCGCCGCCGCCGCCGCCGCCATGGCCAATGACAGCGGCGGGCCCGGCGGGCTGAGCCAGAGCGAGCGCGACCGGCAGTACTGCGAGCTGTGCGGGAAGATGGAGAACCTGCTGCGCTGCAGCCGCTGCCGCAGCTCCTTCTACTGCAGCAAGGAGCACCAGCGCCAGGACTGGAAGAAGCACAAGCTGGTGTGCCAGAGCGGGGAGGGCGCCCCGGGCCCCGGCCCCGGCCCCGCGGCGGCGGCCCCGGCCCCGGCCCCGCTCCCGCCCCCCGGCCCCGCGCCGGCCCCCGCCGCGCCGCCGCCGAAGGCCGCTGGGGCCCGGCGGGCCAGGAAGGCGGCGCCGCGCAGGAACAGCGCCGCCGGGGACGCGGCCAAGGCGAAGGCCCAGCCCGCGGCGGCGCCCGGCGGCCAGGGCCGGGCGGCGGCCGAGGCCGAGGCCGCGGAGTCCGCCCCGGAGGAGCCGCTGGTCCGCGCGAAGTCGCTGCTGCGGGAGAAGGCGAACCTGTACCCGCCGGGCAGCGCGCCGGGCGGCGAGGGGCTGAGCCACGCCGGCGGCCTGCGGCCCAACGGGCAGACCAAGCCGCTGCCCGCGCTCAAGCTGGCGCTGGCGCTCGAGTACATCGTGCCCTGCATGAACAAGCACGGCATCTGCGTGGTGGACGACTTCCTGGGCCCGGAGACGGGCCTGCGGATCGGCGAGGAGGTGCGCGCCCTGCACGACACGGGCAGGTTCACGGACGGCCAGCTGGTGAGCCAGAAGAGCGACTCGTCCAAGGACATCCGGGGCGACCAGATCACCTGGATCGAGGGCAAGGAGCCCGGCTGCGAGACCATCGGGCTGCTCATGAGCCGCATGGACGACCTGATCCGCCACTGTAACGGCAAGCTGGGCAACTACAAGATCAATGGCCGGACGAAAGTAAGTGTCCTCGCCCCTGGCCTGCCCGGCCCGGCACGGCCCACGGCGGGCAAGGGGGCCGCGCGTCTAAGCGAGGAGCATGGAGTCTCTGATCTCAAGGGATCTCCCGGTGCAGGAACCCCCCACACCCCCATACACACCCCATAAGAGAAAGGCTAGGACCCCTCTTTTCTCTGGTGTGTCCCTCCCCCCGGGGTTCCACCCTCTGCCCGCTGGCGGACTTCCCGTCCAGTTGCCTAGTTTTCTGGCTGAAGGTATAGACTGGCCGATTCCCTTTAACTGGTGCCTTCTCTCCCGCATCGCACTGGGATAAAGTGCATGCAATCCGCTCCTCTATTCTCTGGGTTTTGTGCCAGCCACTCGCCGGATCCCGACCTGCAGAGTCAGGTGCAGTGCTGAGTTGGGGATCTGCCCGCTGACCGCAGGAAGATAAATGTGGAATAAGAGCGCAGTCAGACTCCCGCGGGAAGAGTTAGGCTGCTCTCTTCCCCCTCTCCCTCCTCCTCCCCGCATCCCTCCTGTATTGGATCCCACTGCATGGGGGAAAGAAGGGGCTCCGTTTGCAGACCTCCCCTGTAGGTAGGTCACAATTTTAGCGCAGGTTTCCTTTACTTGCTTTGTTGGAAAAGAACTGTTTTTGTATCTTGGGGGGGTTGGGGGAGAGACAAAACAAAACAGAAACAGCCCACATGTAGAATTGGAGCAGGAGTGAGGGTTCATGCTACCATCTCAGTTTGGTGACATTTGTTTGCTTTCTTCTCTTTGCTATTTCAATCCTTCTCTCCCCCTGCCCCCCCCCCCCCCCCCCCAGATTCCTCAGTTCCCACCTCCTGATCCCGCCTGCCTCCGCACAGTGGCACACAGTGGGTTCAGCCCTCCTTAAGAGTGTCTCGCAGTCCTTCTGCATTCTCCTTCCCAGGTCTCAGAGTTTTCTTTGAATCCAGGTTCACCCCGGGCCACCCCGCTCCACCCTCCTCCATCCATCTCTGTCTGATTCTGGGAGTCCCAGCTTATCTCCGGACCATCACACCCGGGAGGTGTTTGTGGGAACACGCTGCTCTTCCTGGTCGTTAGTTCTTTGTGTGGGCCCTGCCATCTATTGTGATCATCCGCGTGGATGACTCTGGGGCTGAGCGAGGAAGTTCTGAGCATGGACCTTTGGCTGCGGGAAGTCTGGCTCACGTGTTGGTGCTCCATTGCCGGGTGAAGGCACGTCTATAGGTTGTCTCAAGAAAAGGAAAAAAGAACAGTTGCTTAATATGAAGCTGCAAGAAAAAAGGGGGCTATTCAACCTTAACCTCGTGGTTGTTAACCAGGTTTCCATTGATATGTTTTTAAATGTCTTTGTCATGGGTTAAATGTGAGTGTGGGCATGAACCCTAGACAGGAAAGGTTGGGGGAATATTAATATTAATATTAATCCAGCTCTGGGAAGACGACTGACCAAGGAAGTTGTTGAGGCTTAAGCTTCAGGGGAAGCCGTGACGAAGAGGGAGTCTACAATCTTCTCTTCTTCTTCCCTCTTCGCTTCTGTCCTCGCAGTCAGCCTCTCGGGCAGTAGCTGTTAGAAAATACCTCCTTCCTACACGTCCCAGTGCGAAGGCAGCAGTAGCTTAGGCTTTCAATTATTTGACTATACATGTGAGAAAGGAAGGATGGACTTCAAACTCTTTAGATTTGACCTTGCACTCAGGATCTAGAAATGATTTTAGGGAATCCCTTTCATTGATCTTGTTGGTTTAGAGACTTTTCGCTAAATACCCATGTTTAATTATGTGATTAACTATTCCTAAAAATTCCAAAGATATTAGAGAATGGGAAGGCAGTCAGAATACCAGCCGTCATACTGTTGTGAGCAAACAGTGTGCTAGGCACCAGATTAATTTTAATACAGGCAGGATGATGATCATCCTAATCCTGTAGGTAGTATCATTCCTAATTTACATCTGAGGGTATTTCAGCTCCCACGTGTCCAAAGCCTACACTTGCTTTTTTTTTTTTTTAACTACACTGCACATGGGTAGGGTATGAGATAGAAAAGTGTAGATTACTTAGCATACTACTGAAACTAAAATTTTATACACATTTTGATGATGGCGTGTAAATGAATAGCCTGTATGTGACTAACTGCTATATAAACTTTTGACTAGGTGACTATACAATGTTTACTTTGGAGAGTGGCGACAAAACCACTTTGTAGTTAGCCACTTGAGTCATGTTCACTTAGTATAGTAACTTGAGAGAGGCAGGACTTTATCATCTTTACAACATTGTAGCGATCTGAAAAGTTACTTGCCCCAGCTGTGTAGATTTTTCTCAAATATTTCCCAGCCACTCTCTAAAACAGGCAGGTCACGGCTGTGTCATTTCTGTTCCTAGATCAAAAAAGTGAGCCCCAGGAAATTCGGTCACGTGTTACAAGAAATTCACGCAGCATACCAGGACATGAATTCCGATTTCTGAACGAGACGCTGATGTTTTTCCTCACTGGCGTGATTCTGTATGGTCTTTGTGTGTATCAGGGTGTGATAGTCACGTGACGTGATTGGCTGTGGCTCCTTCAGTGCGGGCTTTGATTTCCCCCAAGTTTCTACTTCGGACATGCTTATCTGGCCACAGTTTGTCCAGCTGCTTTGAAAGAGGAACCACCAGGGAAGGCTGAAGTAATACAGGAAAACGGGAGCACAGATGTAACAGCTCTGTTTGTATGTCCTCTGGCCCTTTTGGGGGGGTTTCACCCTCCCCTCCCCACGCCCTTACATTGCCCTTTGACCCCTGATCCCATCTCGACCCCTTTCTTCCATCAGGGAGGCTTGTGATGATGTCCAGTCAGGTGTAGTCAGGGTCTGCTCATTGGGAAGAGGAGGGACTGTCAGAAATCAGGTGCCTTCACCTGGCGGCTAAGGATCATGGGAAAGTGTCAAACTGTTATCCAGGTGGAGATTCTTAGCCACTCTAACAGGAAAAGTTTTTCCGTGAAGATAAAAATGCTAACATCATATACATACTGTTAGAATTTTATCCAAAATTACTCTGTTCAGTTCAACTATACATTAAGAGGAGTGAGATTTTAAAAAAGGAGTAGGTTAGATTGGGACCAGCAAGGAGCCGATTATATCCCTAAGGTTTTTCCACTTAGTGCTGCAGTTAGTTACTTAGCTTTGGCTGGTTATACTTTTAGAGCCAAGCATAGGATGAGGAAAATTCTGTTACTGTCACTAATGTGGGGGTGGTGGCAGTCCTCTTAGATGTCACCAACAGAACTTCTCCCTCTACTTCTGCTGCTTTTTCAATTCTCTTAGCATCCAGCACTTGCCAATTGAAGCAGTTTGTTTAATGACTTGACAGCTATCTCAGAATTCAAGATCAAAGTCAGTTATTCTGTGTGCAGAAAGGCTGAAAACATCGATACTTCAGTGGTTTTTATTTAGTGCTTTAAAATTGAAGACACACATGTAGACCGAAAGAGCTGCCCTGATAGTTAGTTGGCTGTGCCTGAACCAAGTTCAACGGTAAAAGAAAACTTGTCGTGTGGTGAGTTGGTTCACATGTAGTTTATGTGTAAGGTAACTCCTTTCATTCTGAAGACTTTCCCTTTAAACTGAAAGGGTGTTTTTGTGAGATGTGCTTTAGGAGCGTGCTTATAACTCACCCCTTACCTATTACCTAATAGGCCACAAAAATACCCTGAAAACCTTAGTCATCGGAGGGCATCGAAACGTGGATGGAGAGTAGACTTTGTGCTATCAGGTCTGGGCTGAACCTGGACCTGCCACTACTTCTGTCCTTGAACCCGTTGCTTAATCTTCCTGTGACTCAGTGACCCCGTGTGGAATGGCATTGCGTGGTACTGTCTGCCTCTCAGCTTGCTGGGAGTACTCACTACATGGAAAAGCACTTTTAAAAGCTGTTAGCGATTACTCTTCCCATTTAACTTTTTTTTTTTTTTCTGATTCTTTAAGACTCTGTGCTTTTCCTATCTTTCTCCCTTTTATAAACTAGAGGGGAAAAGACTTAGAATCATCACCCATTTTTTACCTAACCACTTCTCTCTCTCCCCCTTCCTCCTTCTCTCTCTCCCTCTCTCTCTCTCCCTCCTTCTCTCTCTCTCCCTCCCTCCCTCTCTCTCCCTCCTTCTTTCTCTCTTTCCCTCCCTCCCTCCCTCTCTCTCCCTCCTTCTTTCTCTCTTTCTCTCTCTCTCTCCCTTTCTCCTTCTCTCTCTCTCTCTCTCCCTCCCTCCTTCTCTCTCTCTCTCTCTCTCTCTCTCTCTCTCTCTCTCTCTCTGTCTCTCTCTCTCTCTCTCTCTCTCACACACACACACACACACACACACACAAACACTGTCTTTAAACAGAGGAAATAATCCCCAGAGGGGTTAAAGTGACTTACTTGTTCAAGGTCATGGCCGCTGGTTAGTGACAAAACTGACTGACGTTTATTTAGTTCATGCTCTTATCTAACTTTATGCCGCATCTCATGTAAAAATTATGGATTTCCACAACTCATTTGCATGTATTTTATGTCTTTTTTTTTTTTTTTTTTTTTTTTGAGGATTCCTGAACATTTACGACTTCCTTTTCCTTCCATTTACCCTTGTCATCCTACACTTTGGTGGATTTGACATTCTTCCTAGTTTAACTATTCTTCCTTTAGATAATTACCCCCTAATCTCCCTAGATGTTCTTCGCTCACTCTTTCCTTTCCTCCGACTTAAAAGCCCTTTTCCCTGAGCAGGCCTGGCCTCCCTGTTTCCTGCGCAGGAACTGATTTCTGATCAGCTTCGTTTTTAACTTCTTGCTTGAGGCCTCGCACATGCCACCAGATGTTTCCGTCTCCCTTTCATTTGTGCACATGCTTAGACAGTTGTCATGGGTGCATTTTGCTGCCTCCTTTCCCTCTCTGCCCTTGCTTCTGCACTTGAAACATTGTTCGCTCCAGGAGGGCATTCAGATCATTTACTGAGTCATGGTCAGAGCTTATCTTTGATTCTGAGTCCAGCT